AAACAAGGCTAGAAAGAGCCTAGTGTGGGGAAGTGGGTGGAAGGGGAGCACAATCAGATTGTACATCAAAGAATATTTTACTCTGAGGCTGGCCTGTTCTCAGGAGGTGTTGTCAACTGGCTCAGGCTGAGCAGGGGCCAAAGTTCAGGCACCTGGAGGCAGAAAAGAAGCTTTACCAAAGTCTGAGTAGCAAGCATTTTGTTCCCACTGGTCAGTGGGGAGAAGTGGCTCAACTAATCATTTATGAAGCCAAGAATGGGACTCGTGAGGACCGGCGCCTGGTCTTGTCCTAGGCTGACAAAGTAGGCCTTCCTGAGTCCTATCTCTTCACATGGGAAAGGGCAGTTCCTTGCAGGAAACCATTTCCCGGAACACAAACACTGGGAAACTACCTTCTCTGTGGCCAAGGATCACAGGGCCTGGGTGAAGTTCAAGATGGCAGATGTCTGGCAGCATCACTTAGTACCACCACATCTCTGCAACCAGAGCTGGGTCAGGGGGCCTCCACCACAGCTCTAGGTCACCAAGGCTCAGCCAACATACTTCTTCACCTTGCCTCCGTGGACCTAGAGATTGGGAGGCCTTCCATGGGGGTTGGTTACTGGGTCCCTAACACCTCTGTCAGCTCCCTTAATTCACTCTGTAACTGTCTTTCATTCATGAAAGAGGGCCTGCTGCAGCCCTGGTGCTTGGTAATAACCACTGACGTAATTGACTTCACTTTCCATCTCTTGACATAAAGTTTCTTTTGGGGAGGGCAATAGGTTACTGGAGAAATGAGGTAGAAGTTGAGGTGTCAATATAGAGAAGGGGTCACACCTGAACTAACATTGTTTCATTTATTCTCAAAAACTCCCTAAAATCTCATAACCAGATCATGGTTCATCCATTGTGAAAGGGCCCTAATTAGCTTTCTGCATAAATACAATACTTAATCCTGAGTTAGTCACATCAACAAGTGTGTATGAGGCACCTTGAGGAGGCACTCATAATTAAAAGCATAAAAATCAATGAACAAATCAGGTAAAGGCCTTAGGAGTCCCTCAGTCCAGGAATGGGAAGGTTTATGGTTGCTGTTCAGTGAAACACCCCACTCCTGGCCAATGCCAAGAAGGGAGAAATTGGAAGCTACACTTTTAGCTTCCCTGCCTCTTCCTTCCTCTCTGTCAAATAAGGTCTCCAAATCTAGTTGTTAATAGGGAAAATATGGAAATAAAGGAATTTGGAAATCCAGCCTGACTTACAAGGTTATAGATTTCTGAAACACTTCAGCTTTGTTGCTTTTTTCTTTCTTTTTCTTTCTTTCTTTCTTTCTTTCTTTCTTTCTTTCTTTCTTTCTTTCTTTCTTTTTCTTTCTTTTTTTTTTCTTTCTTTCTTTGAGAGAGAGAGAACACAGAGGGAGAAGGAGAAGCAGACTCCCCACCGAACAGGGAGCCTGATGCAGAGCTTGGTTAGCTTAACAGACTAAACCACCCAGGTGGGCCTGAAACACTTCAGTCTTGAACACCAAGAGCTGAATCTTTTCTTAGCTGTTTCCTCTGCACCTCCTTGAGAACAAACCTCCATCTAAGCAGAGGGTGACTTGGGTGATATAGATTTGGGTCTTCTTCCTCTATGGCAGAAGACAAGAGCTCATTGGAGGGTTTTTAAATATCACCATCCTTATATACCCATGCAAAGCACAGCATCTGAATGGGAAACATGAAGCACAGTATTCAGACATGCCTCAACCATAGAATAGAGGGCAGCGATGCGCAGGATGCAGGAAGCTCATCTTCACATGTGATGCCGGGAACGTTTTGTTGTGATTAATTAAGACACAAGAAGGTGCAGCCCTAACACATAACAGAATTACAATCCCAGTTACCAGCCAGCAATTACATGTACAAAGCTATCTCAGCAAAGTCTTGTGTGGTGGTGGCCATAAGCCAACAAGAATTACCCATACTGAGTAGATGCAAAACAGTTAGACAACAAAGCACCAAAAACCTAATGTCACATGGCAAGATGCTTCAAGAAGCTTGAAAATGAGACAGCTTCGTGGCCTTTGAACACACAGCCCCCTGCAATGAGATTCCCAATCAGTACTGGAAAGTGTTTGCATTCAAAGAGAGCATGAGATTCATGTCTCTCCACTTGGCTAGGTGGTCATCTGCCACAGGGAAAAAAGGAATAGAAGAACAGCAATAGAAACTCTGTTTATTAAGTCTCAGAGTTATGGCAAAGAGTTTCTGTGTCTTATATTGGACTTAAATCCTTGAAAACAGGGCAGAAAATAATGTTTGCTGTGACACAGAGAAGAAACCAGTGTGAAGTCAGAAAAAAAAAAAAAAGAGAAACACAGAACTTTTTGTCCAAACTCTGAAAGGTCTGATAATCGTGAAACATGTATTTCAAGAAATGTGCTCGTGCCCAACGTGCCATCCATATGTGATCTTCCCCAACCCCCCATACTTGCTAGAAACCAAGGACCTATTTTATCAGGTTGAACTGTCAATGGATTTTTGGCAGGTTCACTGTGAGACAGCCTTCTGGTTCACAAATATACGAAAGCAGTCTGGAAGAATGGCTCATGCAGATCATCAGGGTCGGGGGCGGTGTGCCTGTGAGGGACCTCCACACAGGCACATCAGCTTCCAAGAGATCCTTCTTGGTGGAGGTAGGATGCAGAAAGGACACACAGGCCCCATCACCTCACCTGGGACACAGGCTGCTCCAGCTGTCTACGCAGATACCTCCAAAGTAGACAACGCAAGATCAACACAGAAGCACAAGGATGAAAACCGGGAAGTGAACACGGGACACAACCCCACTAGGGCCATCTAAGAGCTGCTTCCATACCCATGCAACAAGAAGAGCGGGTTTTAGTTAACACAAGATTCACAAGGCAATTATGCCATAAATTATGTATAATTTTCTTCAAGTATTTGTACATGATTTAGCTCTTGAAAACCGCTCTGGAGCTCTCTGTGGCTCATGCCAGAGCATAAATTCAGTTCTGCTCAACTAATCCTTTTGTTTTCCTTATAAACCTCAAGTTAGAAGAACCCGGTTGAATATTACAAAAAAGAGTTGCCTCAACTTCTGGCACTGTCCTGGGGTCCAGATTAAAAAAAACAAAGCAGAGAGAATGGGCTTTCTTTGGGACTGTCCCTGTTTATGACCAGCACCTCTTTCACCAGCACATAGACTTTCAGGAAAGAAGAAACAGAATCAAATTTACATATACGTTCTTTAAAAGGATATAATGAATATTCGAGCTACTAACTCTGCCACCAGTCATTAATTTCCTTTAGCTATTTATTTTTTTTAAATTTTTATTTATTTATGATAGTCACAGAGAGAGAGAGAGGCAGAAACATAGGCAGAGGGAGAGGCAGGCTCCATGCACCGGGAGCCCGATGTGGGATTTGATCCCGGGTCTCTAGGATCGCGCCCTGGGCCAAAGGCAGGCGCTAAACTGCTGCACCACCCAGGGATCCCTCCTTTAGCTATTTAATTTCAGGTAGGACCTCCTAAAAAGTTCAGATCCATAAATAACCCCAAAGTGAAGAACACTAAATCAGAATGCATAGCTATAGTATCATCTGTGTATGATTAGAAATTGGGCAAAACAACTGCTCTTAGCTAATTTCTGAATAATACAATCTGAAGGATCTGATCACTGTATGCTCATTTCATGAGAGAATAGGATCGCGAATCAGAAGAACTGGTGCTGAGATGTAAAGGCCAAGGGAGTGTTGTTTTCCATTACAGAATTTTTTTCCTTGTATTTTAAACAATGAACATGTCCAATATTCCCATTACCCATGACTGTTTTATTTTATAAACTGCAGAAGGAAATTATTCATATGACCTGACGTCAACCTGGCCAGAGAATGTCACTCTCTTAAGGGTTATTGAAGTATTTTTGATTCGTGGTTGTGCATCAGGCCGTACCTTAATACAAATGCATGAGGGGTGTAACATTTGAAAACAGTTCTGAGGCATTGACTTAATGATCTAATCACACTTTCTGTCATTATTATGAAGAACTAACACTTGTCAAGTAATGGAATTAAGTTCACATAGAAATGCTCATATATTTAATGGCTAATTTGGAAGAATATGGTTTTAAAATGTAATATTCATTTCACAAAGGACTGTGGAGTAATTATGTTCATGAATATAGCACTTTAATCAGAGAGACACATAGGAGAGTTTTAAACATTAAAAATTTTAGGAGCACACACTCAAAAATAAAGCCATCTGTTTTAATGCACCTGCCCACCGTTTGGCTGGTTTCGATCCCACGTTTCCTGCTGTTTCAGGGTTTCTTCCCATCCACTTTTTTCCAAGAAGCAAATCCAAGCAGCTCCTGAATTCATCGAAGAACCTCAGTACCACCTACCTGGTGCCAGTTTCTCATGTGTTATGTCATCCACAGGTAAACTGACTCCCAGCCCAAGTCCTGCTTCCTCCATCACATCCTTTCTCACCCAATATGTGAGGTTCACTCAGATGCTGAGTCTCTGTTTCATGTAAGGGGATGGGAGTAACATGTAAAGGGATACTCTTTTATGCTTCAAGGTCACAAAGGTCGGAGGTAAGGGACGAAGGGGAACCCTGGGAACAATGGTGTGCTGTAGCTGACTCACATCTGTGACTCCCAGGAGCCAACTGGTGAATGCTCAGGAATTTTTGCAATCAGTCTGTTCAACCACTGTACCTTGAAGTTGGCCATGACGGGACTATTTAGAATATTTTCCCCATGGAAATCCGCAGGCACCACAATCAGCTACAATTGGAGGGGAGGGGGAACAGTTGTTAAACATTGACCAGCATGCCACTACACCGAAGAAACAGCAATTGTTGAATGTCTACTCTCTAGTATGTGCCACTTTCATTAAAAAAAAAAAAAAAAAAAAAAAATTGTGCTGAATTCTCACATCGACACTGGCAGGCACTGTTAACAGCCTTTTTTTTTTTTTTTCCAGAGAAGCAAATTGAAGCTCAGAGACAGAACGTGCCAGAATTTAAACTACTGCCTAAAGGGTAACCTCCATTTCCTTCAAACTTTACTCCCGAAGGATTTTAGGATGGGGAGAAATCTTAAATGTTCTCTGGTCCTATCAGCCAGGCACATGGATCTGCATTATTATCAACCCAAGGATGGCTATGCTGCCTAAGCCTGAGCACGTCCAGTGATAGAAAATGCATGACCTCAGACCACTTGTGGTTTGAATGCTCCTATTCTTCGAAAGTACTTCCTTATTTTGAATAGAAAATTCACTTTTGCCTCCAATTGTCAGTTCTGGTTGTAGAGAACTTGAGAATGGTAGAAGCTCTCTTGGCTTTTATAAGCCTAGCTTCCTAGGAGACCCTGGGAACAGAAGAGAACCAAAATACATTTGTCTCAGCTTTGCATTTTGCTTTTTACATGCATCTGCCATCCACCCTGCAAACACTTGTGGGCCGGCTGTCAGCGATATTCACCAGAATATGCCCTGGATATACAAAGAGGAATAAGATAGCTCCTGGTCTTATGATGCTCATGGCCCTAGATCCCTAGCACTTAGAGTGTGGGATGGAGGCCAGTAGTTGCTGCACCAGCAGGCTGGTAGAAATGCAGAGTCCTAGGTCCCTTGCAGAGCTCCACACCTGCAAAAACAAAATTGACATTTTAATAGGATCTCCAAGTTGGGGGCACCTGGGTGGCCCAGTCGGTTAAGCATTGCTTTCAGCTCATGTCATGATCTCAGGGTCCTGAGATTGAGCCCCACAGCAGGCTCCCTGCTCAGCAGGAAGTCTGCTTATCCTTCTCCCTCTGCTTCTACCTCTCCCCTTTGTTCATGTTCTCTCTCTCTCTCTCTCAAGTAAATAAAATCTAAAAAAAAAAAAAAAAAAAAAAAAAAAAGATCTCCAAGTGATTCTTTTGCCTCTTAAATGTTGAGAAGTCTCAGCTGGGCAGAACTGATGCCTTACCTCTCTAAAACAATGTGCTTCATTATTTATATTTTAATGAGGTCTTTTTCTTAGGACCTAGGAAGCACCTACGTCCTTCTGGAGCTGGTGGTCTTTATCTACATCATTCTCTTCCTGTTCTGAAGATGGTTTTTAACAGGTAGCAAAGTTGTCCCACAAATGTTTCGTCTCAAGCTCACATCATTTGTCCGAGTTCATGGACACTTTTTAATGACTATCATAAAAAGCACCTAAAGTGCTATGATTCCAATATATTATGTGTGGATCGTGTTGTATTTTTATAGCTGGATTTGATTGCATGTGTATGTTTCTCTGCAGCCTGCACTCAGAGATCACACTTCACTTTTCCTTAGAGGATGTCCTGCAGGGAAGGACACTGCAAATGGGGAAATTCTATTCTTCATCACAGACACTGTCAGCATTTGCTTACGGGAACCACAGCAAGACCGCTTCCAGAGTCAAGCGAGAAACCGATTTTTTTTTCTCCCCATGAGTTACTAGACATATTTATCTCATTTTTGAAGAAACGGCCTTTGACCTAGGAGTCCACCCCCTAAGGGGTCAGAAGTCTTTTCCGTCTGTGATGGTTTACTTAATACAGAAACAAGGAAATAGCAAAATAACATCCACAATAAATACATACTGAAAGCAGGATGGGGTTAGAGGTGCTATTTTAATGTGTGGCCTTTCAGGACATATTAAGTGTACAGATTTGCTTGCAAACTTAAGAGATCACAAAGGAACCACCCTTCGGGATACGCACATTGCTGTACGAAACATATCTGCTTTCAAACTTCTTCAATGTACACGCACACAGGATAAAAACCAATATTCTCAATGCCAATCATACACACATGCGCTTTCCTCAGGGAAGCATTTTTGTTGCTAGGGTAACTTGATACATACTAATTAAATTATTCCCAAAAAGGAAGTACAACATGACAACATTTTTCATAAGAAATGTTCAGAAAATAAGTCATTCTAAATGACTAAATTTTCAGCCACCTATATATCCCACACTACTTCTTTTTGTATTGTTTTTATCCTAGGCACTTTCTTTCCTCCTCTGAATGCTTCAAGTAGACAAAACACAATTTACTAATAGTAACATCAAGTCTTTGCATTTGCTACGTGCGTTAGTCTGCAAGGGCTGCCATGAATACAATACAGCACAGATTGGTGGCTTCAAACAGCACAAGTGTATCTTCTCACAGTTCTGGAAGCTGGGAGTTCAAGATTTTGGTGCCGGCAGGGTGGGTTTATCCTGTCTTCTCAGTTTGGCTTGTGGATGCTCACTCTCTTGCTGCCTCTTCACATGGCTGCCCCTCTGTGCATGTCATCCCCTTCCCATAAGGACACCAGGTCCACCCTAATGGCTTCATTTTAACTCTAATAACCTCTTCAAAGTCCCTGCTCCTAAAAATGGTGACATTTTGAGGTACTGGGGGTTAGGACTTCAGCATATGGATCTTGGGGGACACAGTTCAGTCCATCATGCTCTGTTGGGCACTTCTTCCATGCTCCACACGTGGTAACTCATTTCACTCTCAGCTATCACATGAGGCCAATGAAGCCAGCCTGCATCTTACAGAAAGGAAGTGGGGGCCCTACAGTTATAAAACTGACCCCTCATGGATAGGCCAGAAGTCTGTCCTGGAGGTGACCCTCTCTGTCCGGAGGCTGAGCTGACCTTGCTCTTTATTCAGAGCATCAGCATGTTTGTAAATGATTGTGCTCTGTGCTGAAGAGAACAGCTTACTTGCTCCCATATGAAAGAATTCCAGAAAACTGAGCTTTTGTGGCCTCTTGCCAAAATGTTTATTGTTTTTCTGTCTCCTCCCTCAATGTGATCTGTTCATGCTATTGTCTGCATAGGGCCCCCTCTAGGCTGTGTGGGAGCTGCCTCGTTGTCCCCTGAAGCCCACCGTAGCCTTGTCCTCCATCCTCCTTCCCCAGTGACATCACATGGGCAACCTGAACCCGCCACGGTGGGAATCTTTACACAATGAAAATTGGCAAATACTACAAATCGAGATTGTTTTTTGCTAGAATACAAATTACGTTTTTGGCGGGAGAGCCAGCATTTGAGCACACAATTGCCTATAATGTACCCTATACCATTTCTCCTTATAATTTGTTCAAAAGAAATATGATGAATCTCTATCTTGAAAGTGTTATTTATTGTTAATTTATTTAGTCATTTAATGCATGAGCTTTGTGACAACTTTTAATGTTTCTCTTTAGAGATCATTTTTCTTACCTCACTTGTTAGTAAAAATATACAAATATCCATGGTGCCGCTACTAAAATGTTATAATGTCTTTATTAAATGCTATTTAACTACATTTTATTAAATAAATGATCACCTGGATGTCATTGGTGTACAAAGTTTTTGTATAAAACTTTACATGGTGTATCCATATACAAGTACATATGTATAAAAACATGGTACATCTCAAATTCAATTGCTAATTTTTAGTTAGTGTAAAGCTGCATTGCTGAATATATATCTAAATCAATGATATCAGAATTACTGATGTAAATTTTTTATTGCACATAAGTGTCATGAATTTCTTCCTTTAGTCTTTTGTGATATACATTGATTGCTCTGTTAGTAAAGCAAGCATGTGCTGATCACTGACATTCTTTGGGGTAAATGTGCATTGCTAGAGGAAGAACACAAGGCCTCCTGTGTATGTGTTCCAGAAGGGCACTGGAGCCCTTCCCTTTGGCATCAGTAGGTTAAAGTTTTTAAATATATTTTTAGATGGAGGGTCCCTCCCAATCTCATTCTCATGCTAAGTCTCGGCTCCTTCCCCACCCTATGTTCTGTGGGACTTGGCAGCTCTCACCTTCCTCCAGGGATGAGACAGCTCCGAGTGACCTGGCTCAGTATGGTTCGCCACTACAGCCACTGATTCCATGCACATGGCCTTATGATTTGCCAGTCACTGCTCTCAGCCCCACATGGAGGAGCCCAACTGCACCCCAGTCTGCCTGCATTTCATTTCATCAACACTCACTGGATTCAAAGCTCTCATATTTAATAAAGCCAGCCCTCAAATAAAAATGAAAAACTGAACCCAAACATGCAAGTCTGTAATAAGAAGGACAGATTGTCCAACTTTTTAGTTTGTATTACAAACCTACCAAATGGCCAAGTAGGCAGGAAAGAGGCCAGTTTCTCTCTCTGCCACCTTTCAGGATTCCACCGGCAGGCACGTTTGCCGAGGAACTGCTCTGTGCCAGGCTCTACATCACTTCACTTGGTCCCCAGTACAAGTGCATGAGGCAGAGATTAAATTTTCAACTCAAGGATGTAGAAACTGAAACACACACGAATTAAAGTACTAGTTCAGGTTCACCACCCTAATGAGCGGCAAGGCCAGGATCCAAGCCCAGGATTACCTTGTTCCAGAACCTGACCTCCCTCCACCAATCATGCAACCTGGGATTCTGGACTCAGCAGTAGAATTTGGGAACTGGAAGGTCATCAAGTCCAAGATCTTGGGGGTCCAGAGAAATAAGAAGTTTGGAAGGAAAAGTCCATGGGGACACAATGAAATGAATCTCTCTCCTTGCACCTTTGAAGAGACAACGGTTTCCTGCCCTGTCATTGCCCCACTGTGAACCTCAGTGGAGTCCTGCTCTATATTCATTTTACTCATTTGTAAACAAGATTCATTCTTACCCCCAACCTGCTTCACGGGTGGTACAGATGAACTATATAATGTCTGTAACAGTCTTTGAGAACATCAAAGACAGCGCTGTATAAATACTATATTATTATACACGTTCCCATAGGAAGCATCTCCAGGACCCTTTGATCCATAAATATTTCATTGACTCAGCGCAGCCAAAGCCATCTTAGACTCTGAGGCATCATAAGGTAATTGACCACAGAGAGAGTTCAAAAAGGAATGCATTCTGCATCTGCATCAGAGCTCTCTCTCTTAACTCTTTAATCTCAACTTGCTTGTTTTAAAAAATAATTTAATATCAGTTTTTATAGTTTCCGTTTTCGAGTAAGCATGTACTAGCACATGGTTCCAAGTCCCAGGAGAACACAAGGAGGATGGGTGCTGACACATTCAAAAGAAAAAAAAAAAAAACTATTCCTACTTTTTAAGAGGGAATAAACTAAAGTATTCAGGTCTCTCCCCTCAGAGATAACATTGGATGCTTCTAGATATATTTTTCCTACATTTATAGTTTTTTGGATTTCATTTCATTCCTAAAAGAAAGGCAACAAATGGACTTTTCACTTTTAAATTCATTTCACTTTTAAATTTATTTCATGAAGAAATAAATTTAAATTATATCAAATTTGTTGTTCTTTTCTTTATGTCATCTCTTGGATGCCTTAATTAAAAAAAATAATGAAATATGGTGTAAAATATGTTCTCTTTAATCAAATTCACCTTTATTTATTATGAACCTAGAAACACCCTTCATCCTCTAACTCAGAAGGAACCCCAAGACAAAGCAGTTGGTGATTTTTTTAAAGATGAATATTCTTCAGCAAAATCTATACATTTTAGTGAACATATTTAAATGCAAAGTATAGGCAAAATCACCAAATATTAAAGAAAATTTTCAGAATTTTAGAGTAATACTGTAATGAAAGGTCAGAAATACTCTGAACAAACATAAATGTCTGCAATCCCAGGAAAAAG